GCATCACATCGTTTCAGAGAGCACTGGCTCTGGATTAACATGGTCTTGGCATATGGTGTCCCTTATGCAAAGAGGCTAATGCAGGGGCCCAGGTTCCAGTCTACCCCAGGCTCTTTGCTTTATGTCACTGCCCTGCTCTCTCCCCATTGTCCTATATGCCAGTGGTCCCCAACCTCCAGGCCACGGACTGGTGTTTGGTACCAGGCCACGGGATTTGAGGCTCTCTCTGTGAAATTTATGGTTTGTTTCCCTGGGTCTTTTCCCGTGTGTTATGAATAAATCTTATTTTTTTGGTACTGGTTTTATTCTGTTATATTTATCCGCAACAACTTAACCTCCTAGGACCTGGCGTCCACATATGTGGGTTGTCTAGACCACAATACAAAATTTTGCTCTACAAGGGCCTGATATCCACTTACGAGGACATTATACTGCCTCTGTTCTATCAAAATTTAAAATGAATGTCCTCATATGTGGATCTCATTTCTCTCAGAAAGAAAAATCAGGTAAAAAACTTTTAAAAAAAATCTGGTCATTCTTTGTTTTTACATTCATCAGGTCCAAATAGTAGTTGGTTTACTCTCACCTCTGGATATCCTGCTGTGTCTTCTTTATAGATGTGATGGAAGCTTCTAACATGGCAATGTCCTTTATCTCTTTACTGCACCGGGCACACTGATTAGAATAGCCTAGGTACATAACAGACAAGAGACCAATGATAAGACACCAGAAGGTTAGATTTATTTAGCTATTTTATTTTGGGGAGGGGGTCACATACACCTCACCTTCATTGTCCGAGGACTCGTGTGTGGGTTCCGGCGTAGTGCTGCTGCTCTCAGTGTTCTGGCTGCAGCTAGACGGCTGACTGCTCGCCTTCCTATGCTTCCCGTTAACCTCAGCCTGAGAGGAGAAGTGCAACAAACTTCAATTTGGAAAAATCCCAGCATGCTGCACGTGGACACAACACTGGCTATCTGGGTAAACTGCAATGAATATCAAGTGGCTAAAAATAAGGGGCTTATGTCAGTGACATTGCAGCAACAAAGTATTAGTATGAAGAAAGAAGCTCAGAGATCATTCTGATAAAATGTCAGTGAAAGGCTCATCAGTAAATATTTCAGTTTAACCTTCTGTTGACTGGCCCAGCTGTGGCTGTAGGAGAGGCCGTTGTGTTGTCTCTGGCTTTTCTCCTGCGTCTGAATCACGCCATCCTTCTCAAACTGAACAAAACAGCGCTCAGGTTCCCACGGCCGCGTGCTGTAAAAATAAACCAGTGGAATTTAAACTTCCTCACATCCTTGTTTGCTTGTCCCCACTTGCTGATACCACAAAAGGAGATATGCATGAGCGTGCATGAAAGCATATGCGAAACAACAACCAAAGGACTATAAATACTATTATAAACCATAAACTGCAGTACTGCGTCATGTCTGAGATATGGTGAGCTAGATCACAGTGACTCATTTGATTTTTTTCCTGCTGTAAAGTTTATTACAGTAATTAGCAACAACCTGTGACTGACCAATAACCCATGTACCAGTTTCACTACTGGCGTCCTGTATTATAGACCTCATAATACTCTTACTCTCATTATATATGTCATCCAGGGAAGGACGGATGTTGTTCTGCTTTGCTGTGTTTTAATGTGAAGTGTGCTTATTTATTTTTTATA